CCTTTTTGTTCTCAGCGTGCCTTCGCCATTTCTTCCGTTTGTCTTTGAACCATCCTCGCCGGATCGGGGCTCCGGCTGGCGAGGGGGGGTGTTAGCGTCAAATCCGTGCTTCCACGCATTTGAACACTCCCACTGCTTTCGCACACACTCAGCATCGGTCGCTATGGGTCTTCCTATTGGTATTCCATAGCTACGACGACCTCACACATTGACACCTACTTTTGGACCCCCTGGGCTTGATCCTCCTCGTGGCAGTCACATGAGTAAACACCGCGTGTGACGCGGTCCCCACGATGCCTGGGCAGCTGCCCTGGGGCAATAAGCTTGTGGCTACTGTTGTTTCCCTTTGTTGTGACACCTGCGGTCGGGCACGAGTTGCACTTTCCCTATCCTCGGGATTGAGCGACTCTACAGCTATTCTAACGGTGCACCTGGTCTGGTCACTGTGAATGCTTGCCGACCGCAGGTACGTCAAGCCCTCTGCCATTCTGTCTTCCCCTTGCTCTCCTGTGTGCTCTGCTCTCTTGTGACTTTCCCTATCCTCGGGATTGAGCGACTCTACAGCTATTCTAACGGTGCACCTGGTCTGGTCACTGTGAATGCTTGCCGACCGCAGCTGGTTCAATTGACCTCAAGACACCACCAAAGCTTTCGCTCCGCTCCGACGGACGTCTCTCAAACCTCTCTCAAAACGCTTCCTCAAACCTACGCGCTTCCTCGCAACCCAAAGACGGCCTCCAGACGTGCTGGAGCCTGACAATATCATTGTACTTTTCACCGGTTATAATGTTCTCTTAAATTGGGTTACTTTTGCAGGCACCGTCACCGTCAAGGACTGATGCAAAACCCGAAACGCCGGTACACACATGATTTCATGATACGAGGTCTACAACATGCTCACACAAAGACACACACACATCGTACGACGGCAAGACTTTGTGACTACATTTCATGACAAAAAAATTAGAGGTTTATTACCCTAAAATTCGGGATAAATTCACGCGTGCTCATAATACACAATAAACACACACACACACACACACGCATACACCAATTCAGACTCGCTCAGAAAACATGAATCTCAAAACGGCGCGTCAGGATGAGGTCGTCGTCCCTAGGAAAAGCAGGCAAAGCAAAGGGTGAGCGGTCATGGGCACAGCGCGCGATTCACCCACGTCATAACACAGCAGTCCCGTACAAGGTTAGCAGGGCCACGGCCTGGAAGAAAAGCCCGTAGGCCGACAGCAAATGCCAAACATCGTGGTTGTCAAACACGTCCAGCAAAATACAGGGCTGCCAGAGTTGGAATATACGGCCAAAAGGAAGCATGACAGGGTGACAAGCATGAGATACACGCCCGCCCAAAAGAAGCTACATGGGACAATGATGCAGGCGTTTGCATGCAGCCGATCCGATTCTTCCAGGCCTCGCACCTCGTTCAAAGTTCGACTGCCCGCAGCGTCATAGTAGAAGGAGCTGGACTGCTGCCATATAAAAAAGTAGAGCGCAAACACCCAAACCAAAAGACTGCCACCCAGGGCACTTGCTGGGAGCCAGGTCAACCGCTCGCCGTGTCGTAGTTTGTTGACGATGTAGTAACTGACGTAAGCTCCCAAGTTGAGAATGGCCAGGACCAAGAACACTGTGGGTCGATCAGAAATGTTGAGCGCCACGCTGGCAAACAAGACCGCCCAGGTAAGGCAAAGAACAATGGTGATGATAACGGCCTGGCGACGACGGCGGGGCCACAGGGAATGCATGCGAAAGCCACAAGAAAGGCAATAGCGACAGGGCCGCACAACACCCCGGATCCCATCATGCGGCTGATGCTGTGCGCGCGAGAACGGAACATCCGAGTCGATGGACCAAGCATCGCCATCATCCATGACCTCATCCCCCACACTGCTGCAAGGTAACACGGGCTTCTCGCACTGGCAAGAGCACGTCCAAACGCCGAGGTAGTAAATCTGGATCACCAGGTAGTAGGAGAGTGGGACCGCAAGCAGGATAATCACAACATAGAACCACAGCGATGGAATGTAGACGCCTACACAGCGAGCACACACGACAGATCGTTTCCGTCAGGCCGTCGACTGGGGTGACTCTATCATAAGTTGATATCATGTCGTTTTCCAGCAAGGGGCATCAGCAACCACGCTCTTACCCAAGACAACCACAAAGACGTAGAGGGCCATGGCCAAAAAAAACGCATAGGGCCGACAAACCACGTCGCTGTGGCGACGCTGAAACAACGCCAAACCCGTCATGGCACAAATGACGTACACTGCGGACACGACGCACGAGAGAAGCGAGCAGGCCATATCAGATGCAGTCATCAAACGCTTCAAGGCAAAGCAGAGGTGACAGTGCATCAGTCTTGTTTTTTTGAGAGGAGCCAAACTACTACGCACTCATTGCAGTGTCAAACTGGAACACTTGTTCGCCTGGACACGTGTGGTAACAGGCACTGAAAATGCCTTCGGCAACGATGGCTAGGCCTACAGAGAAGAAGAGGCCCCAATGACGCGGCACGCCAAAGGCGTGGTCGGGCTTTTTGGGGCTTTCCTGCTGCTCTCGTGCGAGCTGGTAGTGGAAGCTCCGGCGCCGCACAATTAACAGAAACAGACAACCTAGGGTCACATAACTAGGTGGAGCGGCCATTGTGCGCAAGTAAAGAGTGAGGTGCAGCCAGTTGCGGGCCGTGTGCCTTGATATGCATGGTTGCGAGCACGAACCCGGCGTTGCTAATGATGTTGTTGAATGCAAAAAAATTCCACACACGATGCACGCAGCGAAAATTGAAAAAGCATCGGTTCTGGTCTCCCTACCAGTGGCAAAAGAAAAACACTTAGCTGGGCAGGGACCAAGATCGAGCAACGGGTATCTCCGATCTGGTTTCTACCAGGATGACGGACTTCATTAAAGGCCGACAACTGCTCAAAGGCAAACTGAATGGCGGGCAGACCATAGAAGAGTACGACCACCACCATGAATAGGGGGTATTGTGCAAATTTCTTTTCCTGCTCGACTGGCAGCTTGCGCGTCAGAAGGTTCACAAACAAATGCTCGCGATCTCGAAAGAAGCGCCCACGCCAGCCGCGCTGGTTGACCCAGTCCTTTGTAAATTCGGGCCGGTCAAAATATTCCAGCCCCCGCACACCGATGTACGGCACAATGCTGGTAGAGACGTGTCGTCGCTTGGTCGAGCCTTCCACTGCTGTACCGTCCGATGCTGACGCTGCCGCCGTCGAGGCAGACTGCGACTCCTCTAGCTCCTCGGCCGTCGGTGGGCTTGTGATGAGCTCAGGATCCGTTTCTGATTCAATGTCGCGCAGAGCATGAAGCATGGCAGCGGACCCAGTGGCAGCAGCAGGCGCCTCGGAGCCGTCCGTGGCGGTGCCGTAGCCGCGATGAGCATTGCGTGACAGTTGTAGATGCGTGCTGGCATCTCTAGGCTCCACGCGTGTGCGCAGCAAGCCACGGGTTGCCGTGCGAACGGCTTCAAAGCGACCGTTGATATAGCGATACGTGGGCTCGCTGAAGCCCTGGCCCGAGACCGCCTCCCATCCGATCATGCCCATGGTAAAGAGATAGGGTCCCACGAAATACATCATGGAGAGGAAGAGCAGGGCGGGATAGAAGTGGCTCAGCTCATATTGGCGATGCACGCTAATCTCAATGGACTTGGGCGCATTCTCGTTGCAGGCGCCGTCCTCTTCGTTGGGCTCAACGAGTAAAACCAGGAAGATGGAAGGCCCAAAGTCATCGCGTCGAATATAGAAGGTGCCCTTCTCCGTAAACTCTTGATGAAAGCCCACAAATTTAATCTAGGTGAAGGTCAGAACGCACGCACGGGGTGGGTGGTCGATAGCACGTGGTCAGCAGGCCAATAATCACGAGCCAAAAGGGTATATGCATTTCCAGTAGAGCGCACGTTGCTGGGGAGGTCATAAAGGGGGCAGCTTGAGTTTTGAATTGAAGCAACGGCTTTGAGCTCCTTGCCCTTGCCATCGCTGTTGAGCTCGATCTGCACAAAGTCAATGTCATCCGTAAACTGAAACTAAGGAGCGCAGAAGCAAGAAGCATGAGGATCTGGTGCGCTGCACCAGAACGATTCAGAGCACTGAAGGGTTTATCAAACTGCGAGGCACGGCGTCAAAGTTACTTGAAAGTAGGTGGGGGAGTTTGGTGTGACATCGATTGTCAGTGTCTGGCCGACGGTCAGCATGCGTTGTAGCAGCTCGATGGTGAGGTTGAAGCTTTCAGCCAAAAAACTGGTAATGGCGAGACTGAAGGGGGCATAGTCGGGCTGTTTGTCCATGCAGCTTTGAATCGAACAGATTTCACGGCGCACTAGAAAGCAAAGCGCCACACCATGAGAGATTGTTCGCATGATACATGCGGGGAGCCGGAGCCAGCTCAGCGTCGCGGGTTTCCCGGGTGCAGGCCAAGATTCAAGAGTGGGCTCGCAACGACGGCGAAATCGAGCCTGGGCCTTCTGAGGTGAGTGGAGGCAGACCTTGAAAGTAAGAGCAGGAGCTGGTGGCGGCAAGGGGCACACCCCACGAGTTGAGAGTGCACGGTTGGACCACGGAAAACCCTACTGAACCTACACACGGTGATGGCGCGTCAGGGATGAGTGTGCTTTGTGGGTCGTCTTCACAGAAGGCAGTGCGTGACCCACCCTCGATCTGACGGGTCGTCTGCGCGGCGATCCGCGGTGCGTAGCCCTCGCTGCTATTATACTCGAAGCGATAGTACAAGACGGTGGCGGGATTTGTGGTGTTCGTAAACTCGTAGGTGACATTCGGTCTCAAGCGAATGGCTTCAGTCGTCTGTGCTCGAGCCAGGTCCCCCCACAACAACAGGAAAAGGCCCAGCGCAAGCACAAACCGACCGCAGGTGCGGCGGAGCGTGGTGCTTCTGTGCACCATCATCCTTGGAGCGGTCTTTTTATTCTGCAATGCCCGTTTTCTCCTCTTCTGTTGTAACCCAATCCAAGACGTACAGCAACCGCAACCGCAACCGCAACCGCAACCGCAACCGCAACCGCAACCGCAACCGCAACCGCAACCGCAACCGCAACCGCAACCGCAACCGCAACCGCAACCGCAACCGCACCCCCGATCCCCCCCTCCACGCTCAGTGTGGAGTCGAGTGGAGTTCAGTTGGAGAGCTGTGAATCTCTCATCGATATTGCAGTGTGTGTGTGTGTGTGTGTGTGTGTGTGTGTGCTGACAAACAGTCAATCGTGTTTTGTAACGTCAAACTGACATGTGAACAACATTTTTGACGGTGAAAGGGTAAATTAGGTTGCTGCGATGCCTGCATCAACTGCTGATGCATGGGGTGAGGGTGCGCCTAGTCGGAGCTGGCATGAGTCAGGGCAGTCCAGACATCAAGGACAAAGTCGATGTTCACTGCGCCGAGACCAACGAGGGGAGGAGACACGGCACTCAGCGCGGCTTGCCATGCGCGCAGCTCATCTGCATCAACAGCATTTGCCTCTTGCAAAGCGCGCAGCTACCATTTGGAGACAACACAGGAAGGGTGAGTTTGGTTTGTATCGTAAAGCCTGGGGTGCTGAAATGCCAGTTAGATGGTCGTGCCCACCTCGGAGACCAGAGCTTCCTGCAGCCTGAGCGTGCCGGTAGTGCCAAGATCATAGCCGGTAAACTCGCTGAGCATGGGCAAGCGTCAAGACGCGTGAGTGCGTGGTTACCAATGAGCACCCCTGGTCATGGTTGTCCATCAGCCGAGAAAGCAAAACGAAAGCAAAAGGCAAACACAGCGACCAGAAGAAGACCAAAGCCAAAGAACAAACGAACAAAATCAAACTAGCAAGGGGTGGGGGGGCATGGGTAGCGTCTGCACCTGATTTTCGAGCGGACTCGCTCACAAGCTGGTAGAATCCGCGCCGCTGTGTTGGCCTCGGTCAAGCTGGCTGCAAACTCCCGCACCTAAGGTCAAGATCGTGGCGTGGAAAAGGGTTAACCAATCCGGCATCTGTGGCTCAAAAATGAAGATGAAAGGCATCTGGCACGAGACAGATCAACCTTGTCCAGGTATTGTTGGTACTGTTCTGGGTAATCGCTGGCGTTGATGGCCGTGATGGCGTTGTCAATGGCAATAACATGACCGTTGGAGCGAGCCAACATCGTGTTGCCCGGATTCCCGCTAAGAAGAACAAGCGCAAGGAGATCCGTGACAAAGACGCGCGTGGAGAGCAGAAGCAACAAGTGCGCTGGCTTATACAAGCAAAACAGGATGCACAAAGCGAACAAAGGAAACGACTGGGCAAGGCGATAAAAGGATGCAGGGCTAATACGAGCGGGCCTGCGACACTTGGCAGTTGTAAGGGCTCGAACACGCACCGGTTATCCCATAAAAGGGGAAGACGATCCCCATTGTTAATGAGAATGTCGAGAATCAGCATGCGTGCCAGCTCAGCCACGCGCTGCTCACCGCTAGGGGTCAAGCCAGTCTGTACTCCAACAAACATGGCGAATTGTGAGGCAGCATCTACTTGAGGTGGGGTCGGGAAGGGGTGGGGGAAGGGTTCAGAACAGAGCACGTACTCGCCCGAAAATGGCTGCCATGCCCTCGGCTCCAATTTCGCTAAGATTTTGACCAGCTGCAAAGCCCTTCAGTACTACAAATACCTGTCCAAAAAGCGCCACCAATGTCAGTTCCGTCACAATGACCGGGAGATTTTTGGCTAATCTCCAAACAGCCTTACCTGGGAGCCAATGTTGACGCCGACACGGCCCATGGGGTCAAGGTTACCCAGGTGGTGCAGCATGCTTCGACCCTCACTGGACGTTGAAAACAGCAGGTTGATACATGGCAGACACGAATGCAAACGAAAAATCAGACGGTCGGGCATGCTGTGCAGTATCTGAAATAGTATGGAGACCATTCGACGTACGCCGATTTGATGGCAATCACGCGCCAGGGGGGGCTATAGACGCCAAGGCGCACTGCCAACATGGAGGCGAAGCATTCCGCCGCTAGGTTACGCGAACCTTTAAGAACCATGGAACCTTCTTGTGTCTCGATGAAGAAAACACCCTGCATCTCCACCCAAGAGCAGTGGCACAAGCTTGAGTAGGCAGCCAGATTGTTACAGACGCCAACACCACTCAAGGTCAACAAAGCCCCTGTTCCTCGCGCACGACCAACCTCAGCACCAGCGGCGGAGCGCTCGACACCAATGATACCCTTGGACCAATCAAGATCGCCGAGCGCGCGGCGCATGTAGGCACGGCGCGCATCAAATTTGTACTGTCGATCAAGCGACGTGCTCCACTTGTACTTTTTCTTACCCTCGGATGCACTCTGATCCTGTCCCTCCGAGGTCGAGCTTGCCGTGCTCTGCAGCAGGGTGTGGCATGAGCGAGCCGCCATTGCCATGTTTAAATCGACACCAGACTGAGCCAGTGCCTACCAGCGATGTGGAGGGCGGCTGATACAGGGTGTCCAGTGTTGGATCCGTCTTCTCCATCTGTGCATACAGTGCATCGGCCAGGGTGTGCAGTTCTGTGGGCACTGTTTGTTGGTGTTCAGCCCCGGTGGCATGTGAGAACTATAAGGTTGGCAGGAAGACGCCGAGAGGTGGAGAGAGCGGTTGAGCTCTGTCCCCACCCCCATGTAAGCCAAGTTGATACCCACCGCTAGCATCATCCTCACGGGTTTGAGTATCCACACCCCGCCCCTCCTGCTCGGCATACCAGGCCGCCCCAGCCGCCAGAATCCGCTGCTTTGCCGCTCGCGACATGATCTTGTTTTTTTGCAAACAACAAACAAAAATGCCACAATATCGTCTGACATAATATTCTGACAATCGCCTCTTGTTGTTGTTGTCTTTCGCATAACGCACACACATGTGCAAGTGTGTGTGTGTGTGTGTGTGTGACGGTTTTTTTTTTTTTTTTTTTTGCTGATTTCGTGTGTGTGCGCGGATGTGTGTGGGAGGACACACGGAGACGTTTTGGCAGTGCTGGGCTAGAGTGTAGAGGGCTGGTCCTGGAACACGAACACGGACAATCAGGTGTTGTGCTCTCCGGGCAGAGGCTGCAGCCATTTGCAGTGGGACGCTTGGGGGGAGCTACGTGTTGGTGTTTCTGGAGTGGCTTTTCAAGGCGTACGAGGGCTAAGCTCGTCCTGGTAGAGCCGCTTCTTCTTGTTTGCGTCGGGGCTGTTGGGAGCTTGAGAGAACGCACGGGCTCCCTGCACGCAGCCACTATGGCGGCTGAAGAGCGCATGACACTGGATGTGGACACCATCCTAAGGAGTCCTCAAACACGAGTCACTACGCTTCCCTCAGCGGACAGCAGCCAGGATCAAAGCCGTGAGGGCCCCTTTGAGAGCGTTGTGGACGTTGTTGATCCGCCTACCTCGACCACACAGGACGGTGGTGATGCTAGTCCATCCACCGCACACCACCAGCGCTCACAAAGGCCGCTTTCCTTTGTGGGAAGCATGGATGAGGAGGAGCTGGCAAGCAGCGGCGACTTTGGACCCACAGCAGCAGATACAACGGGGCATGGCCTCAGTCATTCCCTGGCCAACATAACCTGGGACTTTCCCACAGCCAACGGCCCTCCTCATGAGCAGGATGAGCAAGGGACACCAGCCACCCGCCCCGTCAGTGTTGTGGTGCAAGATGCTGAAGTGGCACCTGCTGCGCCTTGGACCGCCATACCAGCTTCCAAACGACAGAATGACTCGTCCAGCAATGGTAATGGCATGGGTGCCATCATCCATTGTGCCGTCATTCATCCCGAGGATGATCACTATCGCCGCGAATTCATGTCTCGCACCAAGCTGAGGCGGTACATTCAGCGCTGCATCGACAACGATGCATCGCTCATGGCAGAGAATCACCGCTCTCAGAAGCGCGTTCGTACCATCAATGCAGCCGCCGCGGCCGCTGCCAATGAGGCCACCATGCCGCTGGGCGCTAGCTTGGCACCTCCGACTGGTGCAGCCAACCCTACCCTCTCCGTAGCGTCCGCTCCTGCAGACCCCACCGCCCCCACGATTTCTAGCCCGCTCTCCCGGGCCGGGGGACGATCAGCCCAGGGGGCTGGAGGCAAGGACACCGATGGCGTGCCACAGCGTATCGAGATTACTTCTCGGGACATGCGCCAGCTAGACACAGCCACAGCCACATCTTCAGAGCCCTTCATTCGGGTCCGGCGCGGCGCTATTTTGGTCAAAATGGGGCCTTATCATGCTATTGTCACGCGACGCGAGCTGCGCATGTTGCTGCGCGATGGCGCCGACGAAGCGCTCGGCCGCGTTCTGAATTGCTTGCCCATTTCTGAGAGTGGCTCGTTGCCCTTTGAGCTGGCCGTGATTGACGTACTGCTAACCAGCTGTATCGAGATGCTCAGTGATCGTGTCCGCAACATTGAAGACAACTCAACATCCACCTTGCGCGCCATTCGCAAGCAAAGCGCTTCTCAAGAGCTGGAAAAACTGCGTGACCACAAGGCCGAGCTTCGTACGCAGATCATGCAAGCCCAGCGCCTACACCGAGCCATTGACGATGTGTTGGATGACGACAATGAACTACTCTTCATGCAGTTGACCCGCATCGTGCAGGAACCGCTCACGTTTACTGATGCTATGCAAGATGAGCAACGCAAGCGTGAGCTCACCGAAATCACAGAGGCGCAGATGGAAGATTACCTCCAACGCCTCTCCGACCTCCTCATGCGACTCGACCTCGTGTCTCAACGCATCGAGTTCTCCGAAACGACCGTCACTTTCAAACTTGATACCATGCGGAATCGTCTTCTCGCCATCGGCATGTTTCTCAATGTGCTCACGGCCATTCTTGCCGGCGGCGCGCTAATTGCTGGCTTTTTCGGTACGCCACGCCACGCTCCATTTACCAGCGTTCATGCACACCCCTTCACATCCATTCACATACATACCCATTTATACAAGCATCAGATCGACCATTCTTTCCGCTTCGACCGACCCCAAAGCTCAACCCTGGCCTGCCCAATTCGACATGCAGGCATGAACCTGAAGAATGGCTACGAAGATTCCAACTCCAAGTTTGATCTGGTGATTGGGGTTGCCTCGGGCGCCATGATTGCTGCCATGATCGCTGCCACATATATTCTTAAAAAGGCTGGCCTTTTCCAAATGTGAACATGTGAGTGTCCTCTTCTTATACCAGCACATGGTCACCTGATGAGGGGAGAGTGGTTAGCATTCTCTTGTTATTGTGTGTCGATTGCAGCTGTGTCTTCTACGAGTTGTGCTTGTGCATGCAAAGAACGACTGGTTGTTGCCCTTCACCACGAAGCTACTCTTGATCTGATGTACCTCAGGAGTTGGCGTTGGACGTCTAAAAGTTGTACATGGCCTCGGGTGGCAGCGGCGCGGCATTGCCAGGGTACATGCGCTCTGGCGTGCCGGCCACAGCCCCCTCCACGTCCCGCTCCAGCACGGCACTGGCGGGTAAGGCGGGGTTGGCAGCTTCTGGCGCAAAGCCCATCCCCATGGGGTCCATGGGTGCAGGGCTCTGAGTCGCACCCATGCCGGACGCAAACTGAAACATGCCGTTGGCCGCGGTCGGCATCATGTTGCTACATGAGCACATGGGGGGCAAAGAGTGAGATGAGTTTAAAAATGAGGAGACCAAAACGATGTTGGAATGCCAGAGGGCATCGCCAAGTAATATGGCGGTAGTATCCACCCGGTCCAAATCATTCTCAAACATTGCACAAATTTATGCCAGCTTGGCAAATCAAAACTTCAAAATTAAAGACGGGGACCCAGTCATTGCCACACCCAAAATACAAAAGCTGCCATTCAACAGCAGCTCTGCCTTGCCGTCCCTCCCTTGGTCACGCAATACGTACGGAGCAACTTCATCGTCCCACTGAAGGTAGGTTTCGATCAGCCGGCTCGCCCGTTCAGCCAGATCGTCGCTCTCGTGTGTCTGCAGGTCCTGTAGCATATCAATGCCTGCAAAATCAAAGTTGAAGCCCAATGAGTATTTGTGTCCGTTCTATACTCGATACAATAATATCTATACTAGAATATCCCGCAGACTGTATTTGGGATTTAGGTATAGCGCTTGACGCACCACCACAGTTTTCGATGAGGTCGTGAAATTCGTTTGGCTCGTGCCGACTGCGATGGCCCAGTTGCAGGAGGTTATCAAGACCATCGAGCGCCGTCTGAGTGCAAGGAAGAAGGAACAAGGTTCATGAATCCGCAGATGCGATGAGTCTGCCACCGTCGGCGTGAGTAGCAAACAGAGGGTTGCCTATGAAAGGCATTCTTTGTCCAAGTGCGTACAGCAATAATCTTTGGGTCCTCCTTGTCAAGCATCGAGCACAGAGCCGGGATGGCTCCCTTGGAGGCCATGTATCTGCGTTTGTACCGAATGCATGGACGGAGGGTTAATGTTGGGAGTGATGGTCTGCTGGTACACCGGAATCACTTCCAGCCCGCGTTCGTGAAGTGAGACAAAAAAAAAAAAAAAAGAAAAGAAAAGCCTACCGCAGGTGCTCTGGAGTGCCCGATTGTGTTGCGTTGGCAATGGCAAAGGTGGCCTCCTTTTGTGTCTTGAACATGCCTTCGTGCACGAGCTTGAAGATTTGAGGAAAAATATTGGCGGCCACCACTTCCTACGTGAGCGAATTGGACAGGGGGTTAGAGCATGCATGGTGTGCGTTGGGGCAAAGGCAAGGAAGTCACAAACTTTGACTTGGAAAGTAGTGCCACAGCAAATGTTCGAGACAACCCAGCAAGCTTCCTTTCGAATGTTCTCCTGTCGCACGAGCAGAATCAAGATCATCAGGGTATATTGCTGCTGGTTACGCCTTTGGACAGCCTGGCATGAAAAGCGCATTGCCCTCGTCTTGACGAGTACGTCGCGATGGCGGTCTGCCTTACTCGTGAGCAGCTTAATAGGGTTCGAAGCGCGGGCAAAATGTGATTATTCAGCACAATCTGCCGAAATCAAAGCGGAGGGAGATGAGTCGGGCGTGCCAACATTGGTGGCACATCATGCTCGCTCGGGATGGGTGGCGGCACCTGTGTCTGTCGGTCGTTGCCCGAGGCGATGTTGCCAAGCGCACGCAGTGCAGGGGAGACCACGGCAAAGGACGGATGGCTGAAGCGCGGGCAGCACATTGAACGGAGTGAGTTTCGGGAGGGGGCGGGGTTGTGTGGTTATGCTGAGGCAGGAAAAGTGCATTCTTGTGCGTTCGAAGGTGGATGGCCCAGAGCGGGTCCGTTGGGCACATTTGCTTCTACCTGAGCAACGACACAAGAGGCCCAACAACACCGGCCAGGATGACGGCTTCGGCTCGCTCGTCGGTGCCGTCAGCCAAGTAGCTCAAGCTCCAGCATGCATCTAGAGCCATTGGCCACTAGTGAGTTGGGGGTGCGGTGCAGGACGGGGACGCAACACGCGTGAACAGACAGGGCGGTGCGGTTGCACCTTTGAGAATCTCGGGGTCATTGCTGTACACCAGGCGGTGCAAGACACTGAGGGCAGGCTTCATGATTTCAAGGTTAACCAAGGGTCGGCGGCCACGACACAGGTTGGCCAGGGTCCACACGGCGGTTTTGATCAACGAGTCGACTTCGCCCGTCACAATGAGCCTGATCAAAGAGGAAAAACAGGAGAGGGCCACTTGAGACTTGTACATCATGGCATGCGAATAGCTGCGCCGCGGCGAAACTGTTGCACGGGCTGACCTCAGCACTTGATCGAGGGCGCCCATGCTCAGGACGCGGTCACGCATTTGTTCATTGTCACCGGCAATGTTACTCAGCGCCCATACCGCCTATGGGTTTCGTGCATGCCCTCGTTTAATGTCCTGGTTTCATGTATGACCCTGTGTGGAGGTTGATGCACGGCAAACAACGGCGCCGACGGACCTGTTCTTGAAGCTCAACTGCACTGTTGCTGAGGCACTGTATCAGGGGTGAGATGGCATCGCATGACACCACAAAGGCAGTGATTTGTGGATCATCCGAGGTTAAGTTGGTCAAACACCAGGCAGCCTCAAACTGTGCCGTGCATGGAGAGGGTGAGGAAGCAAGGGGTGAGCCGGGGTTGCACAGATTTGGGCAGCCACGAGTTGAGCTTGTTGCGCACGGGCAGCGTACTGGGATTTGTGGTTGGTCCTGAGCATAGAGCAGACGAACAAGTACGGGTACAACACCAGCCTCGCAGGCTTGCTGAAGTGGTGGGTCGTTGACTGCGTACAAACCCCAAGGGTGATAGCTTGGTGAAAGGCAGAGACGAGAGAAGAGGCTGGCTGGATTGGGCTACGTCAGAGACAGTGGAGTCGGCAGGTACCTCGTGCCACCAGCTGACGAAGCTCCGTCACGCCTTGGAGCACTGTCTCAGATTGACTGCTTTCCATGGCGGCAATATACTGAAGAAATAGGGTTTGCAAGTCCTAGAACGAGGTCGAAAAAAAAAAAAGCAAGTACGTACAAGTGGTCAGTAACGGGAGCACAGAAGCCTCGCACGGCGTCACGAAAAGGACGGGCGTACCGAATCAGAGGCGCCATTGTGTGCGTCCGGCACGCTTTCGTCAACATTGCGGCGTCGCTTCATCTATCACCGAGAGTCGCAGGCAGGGGCACGCGAACGCGAATGCCGATGCGAGCAAAAGTGAGGAGGCCGCAAAGGGACATGGGGTTGCAGAGGGACGGGCGGTCGGCACGGTACCTGCTGCTCGCGTTGTGCTTTGCGCAGAATCACATTGGTCTCTTGGCGCTTCTTGCGGAAAGCGTCGGCCGTCCGCGCATTGTACTTGAAGCTGTCCAGACGATCACTCATGTTGGCGGTCACGCGAGAGCACTTCCTCTGGCCAGTGCACTGGGCAAGAGCGCAGCAACGTTTATTCCGTCAAGACGCTCTGCCAAAGACGTCACGAGAAATGAAAAAAAAAACGAAAAATTTGAGGAGAGAGAGAAGAGACAGAGAGAGAGAGAGAGAGAGAGAGAGAGAGAGAGAGAGAGAGAGAGAGAGAGAGAGAGAGAGAGAGAGAGAGAGAGAGAGAGAAGAGAGAAGAGAAGAGAGAGAGAGAAGAGAGAGAAGAGAGAGAAGAGAGAAGAGAAGAGAGAGAAGAATAGAGAGAGAGATGGATGTAGAGAGAAGAGAGGAGAGGAGAGAGAGAGAACAAAATAAGCAAACGACAGAGAGAGAGAGAGAGAGAGAGCGATGAGAGCGAGAGAGAGAGAGAGAGCGAAATTCGAAAAAATTTCGACGAACGCACACACACTTTGGTCAATCGATCTGCGACGACGAGTCAAAGGCGACAGGCGGTGCAGCAGATTTGCTACAGATAGATTCAAAGGGCGTGGGCTTGTGTGGTGACTGGTCATCATGGATGAGGGTGGTAGTAAGAAGCGTGTGGCCTTTGCGGCGGCCAACGAGGTGCGCGAGTTTGAACCCACAGAGAAGCGGTCCAAGCCAGCTCAAGAGCCGAGTGAAGAGGAGTTTGCGGCCCTTTCCAGTGGTACGTGTTCATGTCTTCTGGCACAGCATGGCTTGCCCTTTCCGCACCGAGCCAGCCGAACAGGCCAAACAGGGGGCGCACAGTTCACGGCTGTTGGAATTTGGATGCAGCTGAGCGGCGAGCACGCATGCGCGACGCCGCTCGTGAAGAGTCGCACACCCTGGATAGCGATGACGAGGAGGCCAACGAAGCAGAAGAAGCAGACAAAACAGCTGATCCAGCCGAGGTCCAGCGCAAGTATGAGTTTACCGAAGCCGACATGCATGAGAAGCTGGATTCTGAGGTTGGTCACCTCGTTGGAGCATCATGAGGGAGTTTCGAAGCAGTATTGTCGCACTTTCATCGCCCGCCCTGCACGCTGACACCGACCTTGCCTTGCTTCTACTTGATTCACCCTTGGGCATATATGCACTCGGCCTGTGTGTGTGTGTGTGTGTGTGTACATGGGTGTCCTCCCCCTCGCGTTTTGTTGCTTTTTTTGGTGGCCGTTAGTTTCAGGACGGTGGATACGAAATGACTGGCTTCAACCTCAAGGATGAGATGGAGGAGGGCTACTTTGATGAAAGTGGCAATTTCATTTTCAAGAAGGATGATGATCATGCTGGTGACAAGTGGCTTGAGAACACGGGTGTTCATGATGGCAAGGTCAGGCCTTCCATCAATCCCACCAAGCTTTTCATGGTGCCCTCAGGTGGCCTTGTCGCGTTCACATGCTTATACAAAACTATCCTGCTCATTCTTCATTGTTGTTCCGGGCAACAGCGCAAGATTCAGATGCAGGGCAAACATGTTGAGCGTGATCACAGCGATATCCCCGAGGACAAATTTGACGCCATGGAGGCACTTCTCAAGATGCTCAAGCCACACGAAACAGTGACGCAGGTCCAGAACCCTTTTCTTCTCTCCGCAACTTTGACCCTCCCCTTCTACTAGAATGTTTTCCATGCACGGCGAGGGACGCTCAAAGACCTTGTTCATGTTCAGCTTATTGAAGCGCTAATTGCTAATTGCATGGGCATAGGCACTGACTCGGTACGGTGGCGGCAAGGGACGCAAAGCTGGCGCGGCACGACAGAAGCAAGCGAGTGCCGCATCTCGCGATGCACCGCGTGACGACCAGGTCTGTGTTTGCGTTCAGCAACCAAGGCAAAATGGCGCAGCGACTCACCTCTGCCTCTTTGTTCACTTGTTGACAACTCGTACTCATTCGTCTTTTGCTGCTGGGGATTTTTATTTCGATTTTTTTCAGGCAGTGGAGCGAGCCACCTCATTGTGCAGCGTCCTTTTGGCGCAAGGTGTCTATGAGATTTACGATGTATGTCAGGGGCTTTTTCATGCATTCGATTCATTCTTTTCAAGCATCTGGCTAATGGTTTGCGTCGTACATGAACGGCAACGGACAGTACTCGTACGAAAAGCTACAGATTGAGCTGAAAAAGCGCAACGTTGTCACGTTTGAGTTCAAATGGAGCGATCAAGAAGATGCCGAGACGTATGGGCCGTACACTGCCGAACAGATGCACGCATGGCAAGAGCAAAACTACTTCAAGACGGGTGTTTGGGTCCGGCAGCTAACCCCGGTATGTTTTTGCGTTTTACTCACTGGCCTTGCACACAAATGTGTGTGTGTGTGTGTGTGTGTGTGTGTGTGTGTGTGTGTGTGTGCGCGCGCACGCTGTTCGTCGGGTACACCACCCTCTTGTTCATTGACATCGTTTTGGGATGGCGGTTTAGGTGTCACGTGATACTTTCAACCACTCAAGTCGCGTGGACTTTGAGTTATTCATGGATGATTGACCACGACCGCGTGGGATTGAAGGCTGCCAAGGGTTGCTGTTCATCACGCGTTTAAAGATGGCGAGCACCGGTGCCACTGAGGTCAAATGAAGCAGTGTACTTTTGTCATTTTGTCATTCCGTGCCAAGCACGGCCGGTTGAGAGACAATTGAGAGATCCATGCTGGGTGGCATGCGAGCCGATTCAAAATCATCATAAAAATTTGGAAAAAAACAAAGCAAAAAAGTTCATCAAAGGCAGCTGCAGAGCTGCCTGGGAAGCAGTGCAGGTTGACTGTTGGGACACGGTCCAAGCGACCATAACGTGGCCATTGTCAGCGAGAAGGCGCGAAGAAAAAAAGTGACGCCAAGTGAGTTGGAATTTCTTTAAGCCACGGTCGCATCCAAGCCATCAGCCGTGATGCGCAGGGCCGAGAGTTTGGAAAAAATGTCCTCGATTTCCCGATTGTAGTCCTCATCGCTCATCTATAAGGGACAAAGCCGCCGAGCGTCAGACTCAGAGAAGGCAGACATCAAGGCAAAAGACGCCAAGCTTCAAGCAGGACAACAGGCAAATCGGCCAGCTTACCTTGACCTCATGCTCGTGGCAAATGGCTGAGAGGTTATCCACCACGGCCTCGAGATATCGAATGTGAGCCGCAACCATGGTCATGCACGAAGGATCAAGGAAGTCAAAGCGTGCAGCGTGAATCAATGGCAGCTCCTGCGCAGCGGATGAGTGGGTGAGTGTCTTATCGAGGGAGCGCGGCCCAGGCGAGGGATGCAACGGGGCCACACCTCTGGCACGAGCTCGTTGACATTGTTGAATGCATTCAGAGCTGCATCGCATTGGCTCGCAGCCTGTCAAGGGTGGAGCAAGACAGTTTGAGACAGAGAGGCGAGGAGGCGACAGGGCCGAGGAGAGGCGCGATGGTCCACGTCACGCCGGGCAAGTAAACATACCTTGTCTCGTTTTGCTTGATCGGCTTGACTGGAGTGTAAGGTTCGGTCATATCGCTCCTTGGCCTAAATAAAAAGGTGTGGAGGCCCAAAGAGGCCAACGATGACGAGAGGCCGTGGTACAGCGGTCAAGCGAGCAGTCAAGGCACCACATGCCTGCGTTTACCTTGACATAATCGAGGGCACAGCGCTCGTGCTGCTTGACCTTCTCATTGATGGCGGGGAACATTTTCATGAAGCGCTTGAGTGGGTCGTTGACGGCACCGTGGTAGTTGTCGTGCTGTGTGATGACAGAAGATGTGATCAGCCAAGCGTCAAGAGGGGGCAAACTACGAAAGCGCATCGAGCGTGGGGGCTGGTGCGTGCACGGCAGCGGCACGGCATCGTACCAGGTCTTTGCCACGCTCTGCGAGAAAGTCGGTCACCTTACGAAACTGGTCGATGCGTTCGTCAAAGTTAAGTCGCTCCGGAGTCGAGTCATCTTGGCGGGTGGTGAAGATGGGCATGGAAAGCAGCTCCTCGCGTAGTCGGACGCGCTCGCGGCCCAATTCTGTGATGGTGTCTTCGTACTTTTTGGATAGCTTGACCATGGCCGCACAATGCTCCTCAAAGGCGCGTTGATTGTAAATCACGTCGGCTAGCTCTGCCGGAATAAGCGACTCGGGGATGCCATTTCCCCGTTGGCTACGAGTGCGATCCTTGCGGAACATGGTTCCGCCGGGCTCTACTCTAGGGGGCCGCCCCCAACTCGAACCAGAGAATCAGGCAGCGAGCGCCTCGCTACAGCCACGCCGAGTTTACTCACCGCGACCCTTGTGGCTCACAATCCTCCACCACAATGCAACCCGTCACCCCAAACCGCTCTCATTCCACCCCAGCGTCACAACAACGAGCACGACGCCGACGGCGACCACCAGTAGAGGAGCCACACAGCACAGCAAAATGCATCCAACTTGGCAAGAACAACCAAACCCGCTCAAAGTTGTCGCTTCACCAGTCTCTCTCTCTCTCTCTCTCTCTCTCTACATGTGGTAGTTGTGCTTTTCCTTCGTGTCTTTCTTTCCGACCAATTCTTTCTCTCTCTCTCTAAACCAAAAACCAATTCATTTTTCTCTCTCTCTCTCCTCTCTCCTCTCTCTTCTTCAATCTTTCTTTAGAGGAAGCGCGGCGGGTTACGGCAGACCGACGCCTTGCACGGGCAGTGTAGATCGGCGAGGGATTCGTGCGTGTGGAGACGGCGGCGGGTGTGGATCAGCTTGGACGGGTGAAGCAAGTGTCGTTGTTTGTACAGCTTGGTTTGGGCGTCGGTGGTTGACGGGTTATTTTGCACCAGAGCGCGCATTGCGCGGTTGTTGGCCGTCATGGCTGGTCGACGCCGCTCATGGCGGTCACCCCAGGAGGCCCCTTCCAGTTCCAGCACCGAGGAGGATGAGAACAATTCGATCGACCACGGCTCGGTTTTGCAATCGCTGCAAGATGGATTTGAGACGCGCATAGATCGCTTCGCCAATGCAGCGAGTACACCCACACCTCCCAGCTCACCCGACCCAGCACGCAGCGCCGAGACTGTACGAGTTTGCTCCTCCTCCTCTTCCTGCTGCATGTCGCTTGCTCTTGTACTACCTTGGTGGGCCCTTGAGGCGCGCATGTCCTCTCAGCCTGGCACTTATTCGACACACTGTATGCACATGACTCAACATCGGCTTGCCTCTCGTGGACTAGGTGGTGCCACCCTCAACGCGGCTGGCAGACGGGGTCGAATCCGATGTGGCTCTTACTCCCTTTGCACGCACCGCAAGCCCACCGCCATCGACTCGCAAGCGGCTCCTTCATAGCGGAAGCAACTCCTTTAGCGCCGAAAGCGATCGTCCTTTCGCCCCTGATCAAGCATCTACGGCAGCTACTCCTCCGCCGCTGCCGCTGGCAACACCGGATCTGTCCAGCGCGGCCGCTCAGACCGCACATCCCAATCCCGGTGAACCTTTGTTTGGTGCCGATGGTGTTGCAACACCATCGGCATCTGCACTGTCGGGGACACCCGCTGCGTCACGGGAATTGAGTGTCAGCCCCACATCCCCGCCGCTGCGCAGCCGCATGAGCTTGAACAAAACCCCCCTGACGAGCGATGCCGAGTACGACGACGATTTTGCAACCTTCAAGTATGTACCTGCTCCGCACCCTGTCGCCACGTCTTTGTCATGAAGCCCGTTCTCGTCCTGGGACAAGGTTGAGGTTGATGTTGATGTCAAAGCTTTTTTTTTTTTGGAAGGCCGTTTCTCATGGTCTCGTTTCTCATTTTGGCCCTGCGAGCTAGAGTGCGCAGCGTTGAGCGTGCCGAGCCCAAGCCCCGAGCTTCAGGCGAACTCTCACTCGTGGTCAACGGCCGCCGCTTCATTGTGGCTTCAACGTATGTCATTTGCTACCTTTGGCTCTGCTTCCGACTCGTGCACACGCTCATTGCCGGTACGCCGATGCGACGGGTGACATTTGCGTAGCTTGTTTGATCGCTACCCAGACACCATGCTGGGACGCATGTTTGCCACGAGCTGCGCTCGAAATGAGACGGTTCAGCCCAATGAAGATGGTGATTATGTGATTGATCACAACGTCTCGTCCGAGGCCTTTGCTGCCATCCTGGACTTTTATCGTCACGGCCGCATCCAATGCCCGCCCACCGTGTCTGTCTCCGAACTGCACGCAGCATGCGACTTTTTTTGCATCCCTTTCAGCGAAGCCAGCGTTCATTGCGAGGACGTGGCCAAGTTTTTGCACGAGCTTTCCAATGAAGGAGCCCGCAAACAGTTTGAGATGTTTCTTCGGCTGGCCTTGATGCCAGCCATGGCACGCTGCGCCGACTTGGGCGAGCGCCAATGTCATGTCGTCATCCTCGCAGATTCAGACACGGTCGAGTGGGATGATGACCTACCCCCACAGCTCGGCGAGCAGTATGCCAAAGGTTCGACGTCAGCCACCGCTCTGAGCAGTTTCCCAACCCATTGCCTTTTTTGCATGTGCGCATCCTCAGTCATTGCGGCGCCCGTCTCCTCTTTTAGTGGTTCACAACAGCAGCCTGCTCCGCTTCCTGTATCATTATGAGAATCGCACCATTGCCAAGCGCATCCTCAAGGAAAAGGGCTTGAAGAAGATTAAATTGGGCATTGAAGGATTTCCCACCTTTGCCAAGCGCATTCGTCGCAATGCAGCTGGGGCCAAAGTTGAAGGTAGGAGTCCTTGCTTGGGGCAGGGGCAGGGGCAGGGGCAGGGACAAGCGCAAGCGCGGTATGTCCGTGTTGGAGAGTAGATCGCGCGGACAAGTCATCTGCTTGATGTGTGGCTTGCTCTTTTTGCAGTGGAGTATCATTATGATTTACGGCCCTACGTCAAAGCTTCGTGGGAGAAGGAGGAGCAGAAATCGCGCCATGTCGACTTTCAATATGTGCGCACGTCTACAACCACCAATGTCTTGTCAACCGTCATGACATCCTAAATCTTTGTGTCTATGCAAGTGGACAAGTACCCGCCGCGATGCAATTCTTTGTACTTGGGGCTTGCTTGGATGCGCCCCCCGCTTTCTGCCAGAGTCTTTTGTCGCGCTGAGCGCGCTCAAGTGTTGTTGTTGGTGATGTTGATGCAGTTGATGCGGTTGATGCAGTGTTGATGAAGATTGTTTCATGAAATTCAACCGCACACATCACCAGACCATTGGTTTGCAAAAACAGGCAGCGTGATTAAGCTTCCTTCGCTTCCATCTATTGGGCATACGTTGGTCCGAGCAGCCAGTGTGAGTTTGAGTGGGCGCTGGTCATGGGGTGTTGGCTGGGTGCTAAGTAAATACGGCATGTTAAGCAGCGTACACACACTAACCTCTGCCATCATGCGCTTGTGTACAGCCAAGGCTGCGAGCCGTTTGTTGCGCCATGCCGTGCGCTTACCGCTCTGGCAGGACAGGACAAAGCGGGCAGTGCACGAACCCAAAGCCAGCGGGTTAGTTTGCCTGAAGGAAACACGGGAGGGGATGGTCGATTGAAACGTCAATTGAAACACAGTCAACACCCACCGCCAGATCATCGCCAGGCACCTCAGCCCGCATTGCCTCATGGATGGCTTGCGCCGTGGCCGAGCCTTTCATGGGCCGCGGGGCGCCCATCTCTTCGCAAGTTGCTGTGATGGCTGCAAATATGAAAAAGCACAAACAGCGCGCGATTGCGTGTGGGACTGGTGAGCTGTGTAGCAAGTGCAACAATGGCAATGTTTCGGCCTCGGATTCATACATACCATCTCCATAGCGGTTGCAATAGTCGAGGACACCTTCAGGGGCGTTGAGGTCAATGGTCTGGAATGGACCCATGAAAGACCAACGCAATCCAAGACCCTGTGACACGGCAGTGTCCACATCCTCGGGACTTGCGACGCCATCCTGGTGCGCGGCAAAAAATTTCAGTAAAGGCTTGCATCAGAATGGCGTGCACAGGAGCTGTGCTATGTATGGACAAGAACACGGACCTCAACGAGACGCCAAGCTTCCATCAAGAGGGCATATTGAAGACGGTTGATGATGAAGCCGTTGACCTCTTTTTTGAGCAAAACTGGGGCCTATGCGACAGCATGGTGGGATCGTGTCGACCGCCACACGTGTTGGTGATGAAGCGAGACTTCATTGGTGCGCAGTGCGCGCTGCATAGTCACGCAAAAGTAGCTGCAAAGCTGGGCCTGGGACTGTCATTCTTGACTGTACCTGGCCGAGGTCCAGCAAAATCTTGCGGGTGCCCTCAATCACGTCTTGGCGGGTCCAAGGCGCTTGAACAACCTAGTCAGTGACATCAAGGGTCACGACACACTCGCTCAATCTGCGTGCCACCCTTTCATACGCACCTCAACGACGGGAATGTAGTGTGGGGGATTAACGGGGTGGGCCACAATTACTTGCTCGCGGCGAGATAGACTAAGTGAGCCATGGGACCGATGAGACAGGTGTGACATGGAATGGGCAAGTCTTGGTGTTGCAAGTCAGCGTAGCGTACCTCTCGGAGATTTGGGAGGGGGGGAGGCAGGAGGTGGAGGAGGCCAGGATGGTGCTGTCACTGACGACCTCGCACAGCTGAGGGATACGGCAACATCAGAGGGTTGGCCTGGATGAGGGGAGTGTGGGACGCCAGCTACACTCAATTCTCGCCCTGTTGCGTCTCTCAGTCGCATTTGGGATTCACCGTGAAGCTTACCTGGCCAAACACCTTTTGCTTCAGTGGGAGAGATTCGGGGACGCACTCCTGAATGTAGATGGCGTCGCTGCAGGCAGTGGCCAGGTCAGTGGCCACGCTAATACGGGCATACACGACGGCAGGCTCCTGATCGTTGAGCAAGCCTTCAGTGGCGAGCTTTTGCAGCATGGTCTGCACGGCCGTCTGGGCCTGAGCCAGCTGATCCGGGTTGATGTCAAAGATGCAGACGTTGTAGTTGGCTCGTGCGAAGAGCTGTCAACACCCGGGATGCAAGCAAGCAGTTAGGAAGCTGACAACTTTCAAAGATGGGTCACAGGCCGGTGCAACAAAGATCGGTGGCACCCCCGAGAAGCCGGTCAACACACCGAGGCCCAGCAGCGGCCAACAATGCCGGAGCCCACGATGGTAACTTTGCCCTTGATCTCGGCCATCACGATGGTGACGATGGTGATGGCAGTAAGCGATTGGGTGCTGCACGGCCTTCACACCGGTGCCTACAGGTCGTTGTCATGAAAAATCCATCGGCAGGTGACCTCTCTGGCGTGCCGATCAATCAACCCTAGTAGCTGCCGTGTACCAACCCCCTGCCTTGCACGATGCCCCCCACAGCCACTGACCGACCTCTCAAAGCCGAAGGAAGGAGGATGAATGAAACAACAATAACAACAACCAACAACAACAACTAACAACAACAACAAACAACAAACAGTAATTGACGCATTACGAAACGCGGTTGAAGAGAGACAGACAGGGAGAGAGAGAGAGAGAGAGAGAGAGAGAGTGTGTGTGTGTGTAGGAAGCGCTTTGATCGTTACTGCATCGTTGCTGGTTCGATTAAGATGGTGGTGGTGTGGCTTTGGTCGAGGCAGCGGGCAGCACTCATGAGGCGATCAAAAGGAGGGCTAAGATATTATTTTTTAGCTTGATTCGAGTGGGTGGTTCCCACAGGCCTCACGCCCATCTTTGTAGGCTTGCTCGAGACGGTACATGTCTTGGCTAAAAATGTAGTGTGTTGAGATCCAGCGCGTGGAGCAGCATTGCTACGCAAACGGATGCCAGTGTCAGAGGAGATTGCTGTCCGGCAGACTAAAAGAAGAATGCTGGCCGCGGTGCGGCGGCACAGAGCACTGACCAGTCCATCCTTGGGCGGGAAGTAGACGTAGCGCCAATACCAAAACTTGGGTTTGGTGGCAAATTTGTAACGGTAACCTGCAAAGGCGGTGCAAGCAAGCGAGCGAGCATGACAGTTCAGTGCCGAAAAGGCGACAACAAGGGCCGCGATGACGACACGGAATGGTGATGGAAACAGGCATTGACGTACGCATATTGTCAATGTTCATGGGTAAGAAGCGCTCGTGGCCTTCGGCGTCCCGCGAGTCCTCGCAGGTTACGCCGACCTTGAGCATGCTGCGCGCCATTTCGACATCTTCTGCCAACCCGTTGTTTGTGAGTGCCTTTGCAGCGTTGTCGCCCAGCAGCTTCAGCGCAGCTCGACTCAGTACATAGCCAGCTCCGCCCGAGTAGTACGACAGCTCAGCCTGAGGACCCTGGCCCCGGTGAAGCAGAAACCGGTGGCCTATGCACATACCCAGTTGCCATGGTCACTGGGATTTGGCGCAGCAGAACAGGAAGAGAAAGCGGGGGGGGGGGGGGGGGGGGGCCCTAAAAAAGGGGAAACAATGTTTTTAAACTCAAACCCCCCAAAAAAGGGGGGTTTTTTGGGATCCTATTGGGCAAAAAACTGGCCCAGGTTTTC